TATATAGAGAACATATTTTTTCAAGTATTATGTTCATAAATTTTTTCTCATAGAGAACATTTACAGAATATTAAATGTTCTCAAATCTAAAGGTATGTTCCCATGAGAACATGAGAACATAAGATTTCCAAAACTGCAAATGACCCGGTCATTTGTAAATGACCACGGACATTTGGTCACGAGTCATTTCCAAATGTCCCAAAATTGAGATAACAACTGTTTTTTGATATTTTAAATAACAACCAATCACAAAGAAAAATTTATTTTATGACCACATATAGTTTTGATTTACATAGAGTACTGCGCACTCCAACGACTCACGTGTTGTGTTGACAATCGGATGTTCAGGATCAATATCCTGATCCATTGGGATTAGTGGGAACTTCGTTTCCGTTTATTCACATATGGATCAGGATATTACCCATAAGTAGCTGCGCAACGCAGTTGCGCGAAACCAGGAACGAGAATTGGTTACATATGATGCTAAATATTATAAAGAGAACTTTTTAAAGTGTTTTCTCTAAATGCATATCAGGTCCTGATAAATATGCACATATTCTAACCGTTGTAACTATCTGGATATAGCAGTTAGTGGTTTTTTTCGTAATCAAATGTAAGGTACATATGTTAGTATCAATTTATAATATTAATTGACATCATTTAAAATCTGAGGATAGTGCATGTCATTTTTGATCAGTAAACCAATTGTCATATAACTTATTCATTCAATCAGATGACAGAATCGCACACTCCTATATAGCACATAAAATCACAAGGAACATTCGTCTAATTAGATACCGAGAGTTGTATACTCCACTTGATATGCCAATAAACCATATGTAATGCTGAAGCTAATCTGCATATACTCGGATGCTATTTTGGTTAAAATTTAGTATAATGACCGGTCGGTTATGGCCATAATAATAACTGATCATATTGTACACTAATATTAAAAAATCTTACGTTGAAGTCACGAGATTGATCATCCATTCATATTATGAGAACCATATAACCTTTTTTAGTGTACAAAGAATGTTCATCCAATCAGATGTCAAGAATTGCCGACTCCACTTACGTATTTCGTACTCCGTTCCTGGTATTAATCCCCATGATCTGATCGGGGAATTATGAAGATGATATAATTTATACATTGCATAAATTGCATTGTCCTCTTTGTGTAACGTATGAGCACCAATATTTAGCTAATGAGATTGCTCATATCGAACATGAGCCTCTTCATATCTTATCTATTTGATCTAAGTTCAAATCAGTTGATTGTATAAAATCATATATGTATATATAATATATAATAAAAAGCCTAAACAGAAATATATCAATTATACTGTAAAGGCACAGACATTAATTATGTAATTTCCATTTACTATAGAGGCTTACCCCTCCCTCCCTCTAATATATAAATTTCTTACGTCTTTATTATTAAGATATAATTTTTTAGATCCCCATCCCTAAAAAATTACATAATTAATGTCAGCACCCTAAAGATAAATCACATTCACAATTTTTAAAATACGTATAATATATTTTATTGAAAATATTATATGACTATTTAAGTCCAGCATATATTTTAACTATGTATTATGGATTTTTTTAAGAGTTAAGTCTGATAAAATAATTTTAAAGTCAGCACCTCTTTCTTTTGGCGGCGCACGAATCATTTAAATAAATGATCGATGATAATCTTTTTTATAAATCATAACATAAAATATTGTAATTAAAAATTATGAATACTTTTTTTCTACATTATCAGTATAGCAACTTTTCGTGAAGTAAAAACATACGTATAAAAAACTTTTTTTTATAGAACACATAGTTATGTGTATATTTTGGGTTAAAGAACTATATAATTTTGCATAATTTGTATCTTATTTCGTGTATAATTCTGGACGTTCTAGATTAAACGATACAGAATTCATTTTATTTTATTTATTTAGATTCTGAAATTTTATTAGTTAAAGAACAAGCACAAGGGAGAATGTGGTAGAATCTAACATGGGTGTGGAAAAATCAATTCCCTTCTTTTTTATTGTTATTTAATTCACAAAGAACATAGTTTATCATGACCAATAAAGCACAGTCAAAAATATTTAGACAATTTCTGATATGAAAATTGTTTACATAATTGATACCTTCTTTCTTGTCTTTCGTGAATTCCGAGACAACTAAAAATTTGCTTGTTCCTAAAACTTTTTTGGTCTTGTATTAAAAACACCAGACTTTTCAGAGGATAGTGCTTCTTAAGAACGAAACTGAAAAATAGGAATTTTTTATTGTTTCGGAATTTATTGAACAACTGTAAGTGTAATAAAATAACAGATATTATGTAATGTCCTGAAGGGGAGTCTCTAATATCTTATGTTAATTTATATAAATTTATAATGGTCAATCAAATTTCTCTTACGTGGGGAGGAGATAGAGGGTATAGTAAAAAATATTATGTAATATCTGTTATTACATAAGAATCATAAAACTTTTCAGTACCTCAGTCTGGAGGCAGAAAAATAATTTCTAAAGAGTTATATGATTCTTAATACCGAAGGGGTTTCGGGGAACGAACTAATTTTTAGTTTATCACCGAATTTAGTACAGCAAATAGTGATATAAAAGTATATAGTACCTAAAGTAATAAAATTTCAACATACTGTAACAAACAAAATATTGATACAATATACATTAATTTCAAAATATTTCAACAATACGTAGTTTGTAATTATTACATGATTTTTTAGTACTAACATTATAATCTTAATTACGCAATAAATAAAACGCCTTAAAATAGTCCCTAAAACAGTCCCTTAAACAGTCCCTAAAACATAGTTGCAATAATTACTACGTTATATATATATTTATATATGTATTTGTAAGGCGTTTTTAATTTAAAATTATACAAAACAGTTTGATGAATAATGTGCGACTAGGTTTTGTGGAAAGGCATGGAAATTTTTATTGTTACAAAATCAGCCTAAATACTAAAAAGAAACCAGTTAAATGTAAGTTAAACATCGCGTTATATTTTTGCAATATATCGAAATAGATTTTTTAAATACCGTATGTTACACTAACGATCATTTATCATCGATTATGCCGGTTGATCTATGTGAATATCTACCATAATTGGTAATATCTGATGTGGAGAATGTGGAGAAAGTGGAGAATGCCGCATTATGTAATCGGAGTTTACAATTCAAATGAAAGTAATTTATATATATAGTATGTATATATATAATTATATACTGTATAATATCAGATACAGTATATTGAATATATATATTGAATTTTTTATATAATACGTATAATTATATAATGTCGGTATAAATTCTACGAAGGATATTGCAAAGGATATTGCAAGAAGGATATTTGCAAGGACGCTGCGAAAAGAATTTGCAAGGACGCTGCTACAAGAATATTTGCAAAGGACTGCAAAAAGGAACTTTCTAAAGGATATTGCAAAAAAGGATATGTATTTTAAAGGATATATTACAAAAAGACATTGCATCATTATAAATCTTTACGCATGACCAACCAAACAAAGAAAGAAGAAAAAACATTCCCACCAATATATCTTTGTCGATTTGGCCCCGCATAGTTCGTTTCTAAATTTGGGGGATAACACCAAAATGAACTTTGTTACAATCGAACGATTGTTTCACTGTGTCACATAATTTAATCATTACGCAATGAATTTCTTTATCAAAATTATCTGATATGATAATCTTGCATTATCTTGTCTTCATATATGGTTATCTTATTTAATCAATTTTATCAGTGAAACGATAATTATTATCGCGTGAGAATAATCATCTATAAAAAAAGAAAAAAATAAATTGTGATACGTTATTCAAGCTTCAATTTTAAACCAAATTTTTATTGGAAAAAAAAATAATATATTGTAAGTGGTGAGATTATTACTATATTTTAAATATTTACAGTACAAAACTTTTATGTAATTTCCGATTAATAATCATCAATAATTTTAATTTCATATTCAATTTTCTTGATCAGCAAAAGAACCGATAATAATGTTTAAAAGTATGAAATATTTTTTTATTGTATTTATATATTTTATTTCTAGTTGTTCGAAATTTGTGAAGATAACCGATAATGATAATGATGTTTAAAATGAAATCTTGTATTTATAAATTTTATTTCTAATTGTTCGAAATTTGTGAAGATATAGTACAATCTTAAAATATTTTTAAATAAAATGGTTTAAATATATATATTAAAAAAACTATTCTTAAATTAAATATATGTAATATGTATCTATTTAATTAATAAAATTGTTTATAAAAAATGCGTGTAATGAATAAGTTTATACAACATAAATTGGGGGTGGTGTTGAGTCCTTATTATAAGTAGATGATGTATTGGTAATAACGCTATTATAAGAAGGTAATGAGATGTTGACATTTTCAAGATGATCAACTCCGTATGAATGAGTCCTATAAGGATCATATTCCCTGTAGGGAGGTAATTCCATATCATCATTATTCAATGTAATTACAATCGGTAGTGCGGCTCGTAATTCAATAAAGCGGTTTTCATCGATAGCGAAAATTATACTTAATTTTAATTCATGTGATATTTGAATAATAGAATTATCTGAATCATAATGACAAATTTCTTTTGATTCGGGTATTCTTATTTTTAGTGAGTCTGACCAAAGATGTTCGTTCCAATGAAGTGTTTCACCTCGTATATTTTTAAGAGTTTTTGATACAGTTCTTTTATGAGAACCGACAGTGTAAGAAACACATTCATTAAATGACAATGAATATTCATGAATTCTTAGTGATTGATTTAAAGGGTTAAGGTCCATTGAAAGTGATATTTCGTCTCCTAATGTAAGAGTTTTTGAATCAACTGAAAGATCGTAAACAACTTTATCCGTCCATGTACTTGATACCACTGTATCTAAGGCATCTTCTGAGTTTAAGAATGAACAACGTTGAAGTGTTATTTTTTGTCGTGCATTCAAGTTTAGAGCAAGAGAATGTCTTTCCGCGATCGCTTTTAGTTTATATTCAATGGAACCATGATCACATCCTGTTATCGTTTCAGGTAATGAGCCAGGTAAAACAAGTTCGAAATCCCAATGATGGTTACCAGGTTCTAGAACATGATACTTTTTTTGTTGAAGAAATACCCAATCATGTTGGAATATAATCTTTTCTTCACTTTGAAATTTTGAAGTAGAGTCTGAATATTTAATGAAATGTTAATTATATATAAAGATATGTAAAGATATATCATAAGAAAAAAAAATTTTATCAGTAATTACCTCCATGCCAAACTACTTTTGACTTTCCTTGAAAACTCAATTTAATTGATTTTATTTTTGTCGCTTCGCTAAGTTCTAAGACCAATCGACCTCTCAAGGCATTGCCTGCGCTTTCTTGAGGTGAACCATGCATCGTAATTGTTTCTTGTTCAACAATTATTTTAAACGAAGGTGATGAATTAATCAACATTTTTTATTTTATAAATTATTTAATAAATTATTTAATTTTTACTTGATAATATTATTTAAAGATTTTGATTGCGAGAAAAAAATTATTTTTTTCAGAATTCTGAACCCGATTTTATATATAAATTAACAGGGTATCTACCAGTGCTTAATTAGTAAATTTATACGGTTTAATTTTAATTGATTTTTTTAGTTTTGATATTATTAAAGTAAGTGGCGTATTTGTTTACTGATGTATTGTGTACCAAATACTATGTTACCATGGTAATTTTTTTATTGTGGGGTGATTCACTAACGTAGGTCTTATGTTAATGCATATTTATATGCTAGTGCATATTTGTGTTAACGCATATAAATTATGTATATATAATACATATATAATACATATATAACGTGCTAATAATGAGCATATAATATCTATATTCTTTAACGTAAAAGGATTGTTAGGAAATGGTACACTTAATACATGTAATTGAACCTATCATTGGTGTTTCCCTTTTTTGTTTCGCTTCCTGGGAAAAAAATGAATAACAATGAATCCCATTCAATCGATTTCAATAAGCAAGTTCATTGAATCGAAATTCCATAATTGACAAATTTTAAATTAGTAATTAATCCTGTAATATCGTTCTCTTTAAGACTGTTTAATGTGAACCTACATATGGAAAATATATGCTATTTTCGATGTAAGTATCACGATAATTTTGAAAATCAAAATAATTTCTTAATTTAAGGTTATTATCACCGAGGGAGGTCATAGTCCCCAAAAAACACAATAACGATATACCTTTTTCTTTTACATCGTCCTACCTTCGGCCATAACTAAAAATCAAAATAATTTCTTAATTTAATCACTATGTATCACCGAGGGAGGCCATAGTATCCCCCAAAACACAAATAACAATATATCTTTTTTCCTTTATATACATCGTCCTACATCGGCCATAACTATAGTTTTATGAAACCAAAATTTGGCTGCAGGAAAACGTAAGAAATACGTAATACATGCAGTTATGTAATTAGTTATTTTATAATATAGCTTACGTATATTGTTCTTACCTCAATGTCGCATTTTTATTAACATAATTTTTTAATAGGGATGTTAAGTTGTTCCGAAATTCAAAAATCTATAATCTTAATACTGTATACAGCATTTAATCACATGACTGCAATTTATACCTTCTTTGAAGCCATTTATTTTTTTCCCAATTCGAACTTTTTATTGAATATGTAGTACTTTCATGGGCGTCAGCATACTCAGGAACAGAGCCTCGAAGGCTAAGCTCATTTAAAAATCCTTCGCTTTACAATAAATTATATGTCGTGTCATATTCGAAACTACATACATAAAATTGTTTCGTCTAATTCTGGCAATTTTTATGCGTCAGAGTGTAACGCACATTCCCCTGTAGAACATTCTGCAAACAATGAAATATGTGGAATATCGCACTAGAATATGCTACGTACGTATATGTTTCTAATAATAAGTATCATTGTTTACAAGGCGGTATTGGTCGTCGGTTATCAACACAGATATAGAAATCTATTTATATATTTATACGTATATATATATATTCATTCATGCTCTTGTACAACGATTGTAAAATTCTAGATCATTGTACAGGGGGGAAACAAAAATGGTTTTGTGCGAGTTATTCACGTTTATCTTTCCTTACAATATGGTATTTCTTATCGAGTCAAACTATTATGAAATATTCTTTAATTTCGCGACAAATTTTTTTGATAGAACGCTATTAAACAAAAATCAACAAGTATTATATTGTATATTTGGTTAGCCTCTTAAAAAAATTATGTTATACAGTATATCTTTCTTTTAGAAACATAACTTTCACAAATGAAATTAAAATTGAATTTTTTTCGTCTAATTGATCCATACATAGTTATTATATGCCAAAACCGGGCAGATCAAATTTGTATATAAGTTTCGTAAATGAAAAACTATTTCCCTATTGAGTTAAATTATTGCCAAAACAACACGTAAATTCAAGTAGTAAAACGGGGAATAAGGCTTGATATAAATTTTTTATAATATCATAATTTAATTGACTATCACTGCTTGTGTGGTTGGCATGTCATGGGTAGAGTGCCCAACATTATAATGTGATAATGGCCAAAATTATAACATTATATTGTGATAATGGCCAAAATTATAACATTATATTGTGATAATGGCCAAATATAATACAGTATATAGCCAAATATAATACAGTATATAGCCAAATATAATACAGTATATAGCCATATTTATTGTCACGTATTAAAACCTACTTAATATACGATTTTAAACTTTTTGATGTATATTTTTTTAGCCCTTTTTTAAGTTTGGACTAGGATTTAGGGTTAGGGTTTATAATAAAAAAAATTTTGGTAACAGGAGGGAACGTACCCGATCCAAAGTGAATCCCACAAATGGTGTGATCAATTAAAACTAATATAAATAATTTCAGTTTTAATTGATCACACCATGTGCGGGATTCACTTTGGATCGAGTACGTTCCCTCTTGCTGATTTTGGTAGGGTTTATATTTTCAAATTAAGGCCTCCAGATTTCAGCATCACCCGATCTCGCGAATGCGAGGCGCAGTTAAAAAATTAGGCCGCCCCTTATGCCGATAGACATGCTTTTTTTGATTACGTGCTATTCTATTAACCGAAATTTCCTTTCTGTAACTACCCAATGAACTTGCCTGTCTTGTAATATATATTTCTTGGCTATCTACACTTCCGACTGCTTCTGACCATGCTGACCAATCAGATACGATATACCTATCACATGACTGGAGCATGCCTCAAGGAATTTTCATTATAGAATGGTTCACTGCTATGCTGCAGATGTGGTTAATATCATGTGACCAGCATTTTTGCCAAGAAAATTTTACCTGTAATTTTGAACACAATACGTATACATTTTGCATAATTGCGTCAGATTAAACAAATTCTACGCAAATCTTTACGTAATGTGTATATGTTAAAAGATTTTATGTGATATTATTAATTTACTGTGTAATTATCTACAATGCTTTTGTATTCATATTTTTCGCATATTAATATTGATTGTTCGGGGATTTGTAAATATTGTAAATATTTTGATGGGGGGTAAAAAAAAAAAAAAAAAAAAAATTTACTACGTATTTCTGATAGATAGACCATCACGGATAATCACCGAATTTTTGAATGAATATTCGGATTTTATGTGAACATTCGATTCCTAATATGAAAAATGACCGCTGTTTTGAGACCTTTAATCCTGATTAAATCTACGATAATACTGTATTAAAATTACCAAAATCATTGATAAAATTTAATTGCTATCGTTATATTAATATTTATAAATAACTTACTTTTCAGCAAATTTTCGTTAAGATGGCAAATAATTTTTATACATTTTATCGCTCTTTTCAAATTAGTGTGACCCCTGCCGATCATTTCTCACACTGAAAATCGGCAAAATTCCCTAATTTTA